CATTTATAATGGAATTACTAAGAACGAGATGACATCCGAACGGTTCCTGGTATGTTCGCTGAAGGATTTTTGAGAGCATTTATGAATGAATACGCTTATATTTTCGATATGTCCGAGCTATTGCGGTCAGTGATGTTAAATAATTGTGTTGTTTTACTCAACTCAAAATAATATTGTTATGTGAATGACGTATTTAATTTATAATACGTATAAGTAGAATTTGTTCTAATGTGGTCGTAGCTGTGGTTTCCCGCGCTTTGTGTTGTCAAAAGTTTTGTTACTGACGTAAGCTGATTTCGATTTCTTGGTCCGCTTTTTGCGATCGTAAAAACTGTTCCCTCTTTTGTTATACCACATAAGTAGGTGAAGTTTTCATGTCCGGGATAAAGATTTTAAAACTGTTATGAATATAGTTGCTATTAACTTTATGCTGTTCAACTGTTTTTGGTTAGAGCTTTTTTTTTTATTTGATATCGTTTCAACGATAAAGGAATTATTATTACAGACTATAAAAGCTTATCTGTCATGATTTCAATGAAAGAAACAGTACTCTTTGTATTTTTTTGTCTTGTTATAATTGGTCTAATAAAAATCATACAAAACAATTATGTTCCTTAAGGTACAATTACCGTTACCCTTTGTTACAGGTTCTGCTTCAGCCTGGTAAGAAAGATTAAATAATAAAGTCTCTCGATGCCACTCAATATTTGATAGATTTTTTTAAATTTTATTCTGATTCACCATTGTAAGGTTTTTAGAATCTAAAAAGAGAATTGAGAGTTCATTCAATATAAGTACATTATATAAAGTTAAATTTTACATTTCAGTTATTTTCTAAGCTTTCGTTTGCATTTATTTTAATTACTTTCTAAAGTACGTCAATCTTATGTTCCCACGTCGGCTGTATAATTGTCCAACACACGTGGTTGCATGACATGTAGTTTTCACGCATTTTTTTTTCCTATGTTTATCTTATATCGAGATCTGTTTTCGGTTATAGCCCGCGGTGGATTCGTGATCTTATTTATAAAATGGTATCCATTCAATTTTTACGGAGAAATCAATTTGTACGACGCGGCTACTGTTGCAGAGTAATGGAACGGTGAAAGGGAACTTACGTTAAAGATGAATGGATTATGGAATATTAATTAGTTACTAACTCAGCGGGTGGACATGACCGAGGCAGATCAATCTGGTAACTTCTGTCGGCGGCTCTTAGAAAAAAAAATGTTATTTATCGGACAAGTTTTTCACATGGCGATGCCCAGACAATGGAGCGAGAATCGTTTTGATATTAAATTCGTATAAAATATAATGTAATGTGTGACCAGTTCCGGTTGCGTGATGGGAATCTCATCTAACTGTTCTCTATTGGTACGGTCCAAATATACTGTAATGTAAATTTTCTCTATTTACATACAACCGCAATTCTATTGCTTCTTAAATCTTCTGTCCGTATTAAAATAGATATTAAGGTACCTTTCTATGCTGTTAATATTGATAACAAGAGTCGCTCGTAAACAGCGTAATTTACTGCTGGTCGGTAAGGGAGCATGCGCACGCGCATTTTCGTCCAATCAAACGACATTAGCTTCAAACGACCGAAACACTATAATAGTGTAATACGAATTTAAACACATTCTCACATTACAAAACAGTAATACATAAGCGAAATTTAATGTCACAGCGACGATTTAAGTTGTTATTATGATTGTGACAGTGAGAATCCGCATTCTGTGAGCTATAAACGTTTACATTTGAGCAAATTATTCCCGTTTCGAGTTTAGCAATGCTTATTAAATCCGTGTTATGTACGAAACTGACAAAGTTTTCAATTAATTATCTCGTGTATTATATAGCCCTAAACCGAATGGGTACTTCGACTGCTAGGCTGGTACACGTTGAATTCCTTTCACGAGTCACTTGTTAAATAAATAGCAGATAGAAATTCACAATAAATTATCGTACACTACCGTAATAAACACCTACAACTTCCTATGTGATCGGGTCTTATTTAAGTCATTCGATATCTCGTTCAGCGATAGCGTATCGATCGGTATCGAATTTCGTACCAACATTTTACAACTGATCTTACATAGTATGAGAGATATGGCTTAGATTTTATGAAGATTACATCAATAGTATTTTTACATGTCGATTAACGTGATTTATATCGTGAGTATCATACTAATATATATTGCGTTACTCAAGTTTTTTCTCGTATTATTCTCATGCAGACTAGTGAAGTAGGCGCCGCAAAAAACGGAAAGTTAACACAATGCAGGCAATTAGTGCCGATGTAAAAATGATGCTAATAGACAATTAAATTCTACATATACATGGAAAGATTCTTTGTATGTGGTGTTTTTGCTCGAATAACATTAACTCATTGGCCGTTTTATTTATATAATATAACATTTAACTATCAAATAACATTGAATTAGAATGTAACTGTATTATAACAAAACAATTAAAGCGGACACAATTTGAATCGTGCATGAGGTTGCGCAAGCGCACAGCTATCGACAAGGTATTAAAGAAATGTCTTATTAGTCAATTCAATTTAGAGAAATCTTATGTGCACCAGCCCTTATAGTTATCTATTACCGAAATATATGCATATTCTTTATATGTATAAATTATCTTGTACAGAAATAAGATTTTTTTGGAGAAATATTTTGTGTATATACCTATTAAAGTCTTCTTTATAGGGCAGTTTGACACAATCTTAACAAGTAGGTCACTGAGGTGCCGATTGAATGTAAATGCGCGGGAGCCTGCCATCCGCTTGGTGTACATTGTTTCAGAGATTCACGGACATTATAATATAATGATATTTGTATTGCTTGGACCCTAATTTGACGAATTTATGAACTAGGACAGTCGTATTGTATTTTTTTCGTTTAGTTTCTATTGAATGTTTAATGAGATTTAGTTAAACTTTCCTTTGAGAAGATTGCATTTAGGTATCATGCTATCGTTATTTTATCGCAATTTTATTATAGAAATATATTACGATTTATATATATATTTTTATGTAATGTTAAGTTGTTTATCGTCGCCCTAGTCACCCTTGCGTGTGCGCAGTTCGTGCCAATGTCGTATGTTTTTCTGCCACCCTTGAAGGTCATGTACCCGATGGCTTCACCTTGCGTGTGTATTTATTACAGCCATTACAATAATGTGACGCCTAGTATTGTTGTATATTTTATGGAAACATTATCGACGCTTTATTATATTAGATGAAACAATAAAGTGAATTCTATAAAAATAATAATATTGTTCTTGTTTAGAAGTCTAAGAAATCTGTTTAAATTAAAAAAAAATCTATCGATACAAACTATGCCTTATAAATAATGTATAAAAAGCTAAATAGACAGTTTATAAAATTATCTACTTGATGAATCCTATGTAGACAAAATCAGGTAGGCCGAGATTGCTAACAGAGCGGCAACCCTTCATTAGGTTTACGCTCCAACGTTAAATATAATAAACTTTAACACACACGAGCCGGAAATAAAACTTACAGTTACCATTATTAACTATCATTTATGAGAAAAAATACAAAAACGGTAAATAAGTACTTTCAAGTTTCATTGTTTGAATTTGGAACCTGCTTCTTAAAGCCAATTTCAAAATTCGAATCCGCAGCGAAATGACAAGTGCGGAAACGTTCAGAAACTCCCCTCGTCCCGATGTATTTAGCTACCCCACGCATGTCGGGCTGAGAACATGCAACCCTTCATTATGACGCGACTATTATTACGCAATCAAAAACTCCACATGTACAAATAAATATAACTCTAATGAAACGAGCACCGAATGATTTGTTATGTCGAATTATATTTTAAGGATCCAAAATATTTTAACAAGTAAAAATACGTTACGAACACAGTGCGTGTAGACGTCCAATAAAAATTAATAAAATATAACATTTCTCAAAGGAAAAAATTATAATTATAAAACCTTCATTCGTATAATAAAGCAGGTTGTTAAATTTTATATTTATATCTACATTTCTATATAAATAACAAACAACTAAAAATTACATTAACATGACATTACAATTGCATTGTTAACATAAATTTACGCGCGCAGTGAATGCAAGGATCAACAATTACTGTCACTTCCTCAATAAACACGTTTAGAAATCGAAAAGGGCTCGTAAAACAAGACTGCCCTGATTGCTTCCTCTTTCATGCGAGTAAGAAGAGCTCGGTAATTATCGGAGAGTAAAATTTATTCTGACACAAGATTATGGTATGCATGCGAAGTATAGCATAGTGTAGTAAGCTGTTCGGATTTATATTTTACACGTCCCCCCCCCCTCCCCTCTGCCCGCGACATGCGACATGCGAACTTAATAGACCATATAAAGCTAAAACCTCTTGAGACATCACAGATAACAAATCGACATATGAATGGGTGATCTTAATTTATCTGTGAAAGGTTCCGCTTAACACTCCGCAGATCACTAATCGATTCATTAAAACTACACGAGATTTGATATGGCGATAAATGTACATTAATTATGATGTATCGAGCTACATCAGTTTGTGATCAGCAAATCAACCGATTAACTTTTTAAGGCTATCCAAAGTATTTCTTAGATATATTTATTTGACACTGACGTGCTGAGGACACTTTTTGTTGTGTAATTATTTTATTTATTCGGTAATTGTTCATCCACAACGACATTGTTATTGGCGACCTCAACTTTTTTATTAGACGTTAATATTAATACAAACATTTTGATGTTACCCTCCTAACGTTTAAAAATTAATTGTAACTTTAAATGGATTGCTCGATAATGTACTAACTTTATATTTAATATATTGTAATTGACTTAGGTAATTGATACTTAGATGTTGGAGTATTTTTAGTGACGTTAAGTTTGTTTGTTATCAGTCGTTTGGTGGAAGGCTTCTATGTTCTATGTGAGATGATTTGTTGAGAGGAATGTTTGTTAATGAATGAAACCTGTTATGAGGGGTACTTACTGTGAGGTGGTGTGAGAGACAGGGCTGATACAGCGGGCGGCGGCACCGGGGGGAACATGTCCTGGTGCGGCTGGAACATCCGTGGTGGCGGCGGGGCCTCCGTCTCCGGCTCCTCGTTCTCCTGCTTGTGCGGGGACCGTCCTCGCGCGAGCCGCACCGCCTTCAGTCCACCCGGTGACCGTCTCATGGACAGGTTCTCCGGCGTGTCCGACTCCCCGGAGCGTCTCCTAGGGCGCGCCTGCTTGCGGCGAGGCTGCGGACTGTGCGGGCTGGCGGGCGGTGACGCGGCCGCCGTCCCAGTCGGCGGGCTCCCGGCCGGCGACCTCTCCGACTCCCCGCACTCGGCGGCCTCCTGGTCGGCCAGGCCGCGGACCTGCAGCGACTCCCCCGCGCGGATCACTGTCTCCAGCTGCTCCTGCGCCACGGACACCTCCCCGCGGTACATGAAGTCCACGACCGCCTGCACCTCCCATCCTTGAAAGTCTTTGAGCACGATCACCGGGTGTTTGCACGGGTTCTCGCTGAATATCCTCCTGAAGAGCGGGCTGCACGCTCCCAGCAGCACCTTGTGTGCGCGCACCCTCCTCTCGGCGCACACGAGCGTGACGTCCACCAGTGTCTCGGCGTGCAGCAGCGCCTCGAAGGAGCGCAGCAGGTGCGCCTGGTGGTTGTTCCAGCGCAGGCTGTAGTGCTCCTCGCCGGCGGGCTGCTTGTCGTCCATGGCTGCGTCAGGGGTGGCCGCTGGCCGCTGGCCGCTGTGGTCGTGTGTCGGGTCGCGGCGACTCGTGGCCGCGGGCGCGTGCGCGTTCTCGCGCCGCCCTGCACGCCGACCCTTTCTCTCAGATGTGTCCGGGGCTCGTGGTCATCACTCAAAACGTTAAAGTTCTCTATCACTGCACAGAGCACTAGGTCGTCTGTCCGCGGCGGGCGGTCGCTCGGTCTGTCGCTCGGTGTGTGTCGCCTGTTGTCCCGGGACAGAGTGTCGCGGACGTGCTGCGCGGACGGCTCGCGAGCGCGGAGTGAGCTGAGCGTGGAGCGCGGTACTCCGCTGTCGACCCGGTTCGCTCCGAGACCGGTGCGAGGCGAGTGCGAGTGCGAGTGGCGCGGCCGGCGCGGTCCCGCCCTCAGCCCCGCCCTGCGCACACACGCCCGCGACCACACACACACACACACACACACACCACACACATACACACACACGAGACACACATCGACACCATCACATGTGACGCCTACTCTACATTATGTATTTTTTCGGGTACCTACTCTTGCCATATATGTGGAGAAATCACGACAAATCCCGTTCCGGCTAGAGACCGTGTCAAGTGTCAAGTGTCTAGTGTCTCGCTGGTGTGTCTGTTGTGTTATGTCGACACCAGCCAAGTCTAGTCTCTCGATGCGGGTATATAGCTTTATGAATACATTCTATTGGAGAATATAAACTTTTATGAAACTATTTTACTATAACTGGACTGTGATAACGTATGCTGTGAATAATACTTATTGTATTGACATTTTACAATAGGAATTCACTTATATAGAAATAACGTATTTGATGAAACTATTTTTTATCCTTCCTTATAGGTATTTAAATTACTTCCTAATATAAAATCTTTAACAGTCAAAACATGAACTGAGATATCCTATATTTGTGAAATTGGTAAAATGAAATATTCTAATAAATGATTTAAGTCTACAAACATGTCTCGTTAAAAATAGTTGTACAACAAACACGTATATTCACTTATAATATTAAAAAATAAAAAAGAGCTAACTTTAATAATAAATTACATGTACCTAATAAACCTATGATATTTATTAACATTTAATCAATAATATAAAATTTCCAAACATATTTATAATTAATTTTATTACGTATTTTTTATTAAATATGTTCGTCATTAAATATTTTGATTATTTTAATATATTTTAACACCACAACGAACTACTGTTTGGGGAGTGACCCATTTTAAGTCAAGGCCACGGTCAACAGTATTCAGGATGGCAACGTTTGTTAAATAAATTAATATTATATTGAAAAACTAATTATATATAATATTCACAAAAATATTAATATAAGAATATTAATGTGGTTAAATAAATACAATATGACTGAATATTTTTATCTAATTATTATTATTTATTTTATATTTAATAAGTAGGGATAGAAAATTAAATATATAATTTTTAATAAAAAAATGTTTTATTAAGTTTATTAAAAATAAAAAATATGTGTAATTTCATAGATAGATATAAAATACCTTTTATTGTTTTTTATGTTAATAGATTTGCTCCACATTAGTACATATTACGATAATCAAATATTTATGAGGTATTAACTGGATTATAAACTATTAAAGGTGATTTGAAACACTAATACATATTTTATAAATTAATGTGTTATTTTAAATGAAAACAAAACAGTCATATTTTTATTATATTAATTTTGCAGCTTTTCCGTGTCTACTTATTAATTCTAGGCTTGGTTATTAAATAATTTATGAATATAAAAAATTAAAAGCAAAAGCTTATTTTTATATGTAATTGAAATAAATTATTATGAAATGACCCAAATTGTCTTGAAGTGTGTGAGGGCGAGATGTTATCGTGTTTATGTTACACGTAAGGGCATTAACTTACTTTTCAAGCCATTTGTTATATGTGATTATTTTATTATTGTACAGGTATTTCCCGCGTTTTCGGCATACCACGTAGGTACCTAAGAGTTAAAAATAGTTTTTATTTGTTGGTACTTAGGCCAAGGTCCAGCTTATTCGGTAATTAATATTTAACTAAAAAAAAAGAATTACCGAATGTGTTATATAAAAACTTCATGCTAATATCGGCTGAATATTTCAAATTTCAAATTTAGAATTTTGTATTTGAATTTTTAAAAAAAATATTGATCGTAGGTGACGCATACTTTTTTCAGTACAAGTATATACATAACGAGGTCTAAGATGAACGATTGTAATCGTTCAGATCACGAACATTTTCATGTCAGTAATGATTACTTATTAATTAATTATTGATGAGCGATATGACATTCTATAGTCAAGGCGAACGCTGGGTCAAAGACGTGGGGACTTATACATGAATTATTCATGTGTGTGTGTGTGTGTTATTTTATATAATAATATGTGTCTGTGTGTTCAATTAGAGATCTTGTATGTGTGTGTGTGTCTCAATGTTTATTATATGGCATTCGAATTTTTCTTGTTCCTTTATTATATTGTAGTGAGGTGGCGAGCGCGGTACCGGGAGAAACGAATGTTTTGGGTTCACAGGCTCGCGCCGCCCTGTCTTACAGATACAGAGTAATTATAACACAGATACTTACACTGTAATGTGTACATTAATATTAATAATAAAATCATCAGTATTGCTTTAAATATATGCAATTAGTGCGACGTAATTAGTCAGTGAATTGTATGTGATTAGCTAGTAGTGAGTCATGGCTATGAGTATATAACGTGCTGTTTTCCCAATACGTAGATCAGTTTAAGGAAGGAATTGTTAAAAGATAAGGTAAGGTATTTAAAATAAGTACAACAGTATGTGTTATTATAAAATACAATACTTTATGAACATCTGCAAATGTTAAATGTTAGTTAATGCTAAAATATTATATTGTTTCATTACTCTGTGGGTTCTCCCATGCATGTTAGTTTCATATCACTGGTTGGTTGCAGCTCACCGAAGGCTGAAAACTAAAAAAAGGCCACGTCGGCACTTGTCTGCCAACTTGTACGAGCTTGGCACTTAGATTAGTTTCCAACTTCCCCTGTACTATGACTCGATGAATATGAATACTTGTCATACATCCGAACTGTTCCGTTTTTGTCATATAGTAGGGGGAGTTTTTATTCGAAAAAGTTTTATTGAAAAAACATTTTTTTTATTATAACTTTCAAATTATATTGTACTAACGATGTTTCTTGAAGAATTTACTTCAACATTTAGTTTAAAGATAATCTACAGCGCTGTTATTTAGTTCCAAACGTGATTAAGCAACGGTAACCGGCTAAGGAGTCCGTATATCATGAATCCACCTCCAGGCTGACGCGGGGCATCGTGTCTATGCCGATGTATAGACAATATAGATCGGCGTGCGCGGTAATGAATCAGATGTGTATCGGCGACGTGTGAGAACATACGGCCGAAATACGAGCCGTAAATATTAGCTCGCGTGCACTGGAATTTGAATTTGGAACTGTTTAGATCTGACCATTATTTTTAATTTTTTTCTATTATGCCAGCAGTAATATGTAGTAGTTTTTATTTATTTATTTATTTATTAATTGTGTATACACAGTTTTGATTATGTATATTTTTTATTTTTACATTTTTTCTACTATTTCAATTATGTATAATAGTATAGATGTCAAAAAATATTGTATATTACTACACATAATATTTTATCTATAATATTTTCTATGAATTTTGTTCTAGTTCGAAATATTGTAATGCTGTACTAAAAAATTAACATTATCTAATAATTGCAAGCTCTGTGGCCGCTTCGTGCGGATCGCCCCGGGCTCAAAATAAAAGTTAAATTCAGTCTGATAAGCGCCGAAATTTTCAATGGTTTCCCTGCAGTTTTGCGAGCTTAGTACCTACATAGGTACTTGTGAATTATATTTCATTGTACATACATGTACGTAAACATACGTTAACATAGATGTCAGAAATTTGGATGTGTTATTTTAAATTATATCCTTTAATTTATCATATTATAATATTTATTTATATTCTATATTTATTGTACATCTGAAATATTAAAATTATGAAAACGTAAATGCAAGAAGGTACAAAGTCGGAAATGATGCTAAAATTCAAAGCTGTAACTCATTACTCGATAAATTAGCAAATAAACTTCTTCCACAAGTTATTACAACTTAAATAAAGGAGCCGGTATTAAGTTTTTACATTTAAATACGAATATTATGAAGTGAATGTAAAGCTGGGTTCACAACACAACTCGTGAATAACTTGTTCACACGATACCCTCATGTTACTCGTACGTGGCTTTTGGATTTTTCTTTTCGCTGTTTGTTTTTCATTAAAAAACTAACTTTACCTTAACGATCATTTAACACGTGTTTTTTGTTTTATACAACTCAAATTTATTATGCAGATGTTTTTAACGTAATCTTTTCGTCTCATTTTTTTTCTATACATATCTTACGTGTTACTAGAATTAGAAAGTTAAAAGAACATAAAATAAAATAATAAACATTAGGGTACATACCACGTCATTGTCATGACGAGTATATTAAAAACAATGAACGTTTTCGTACCTGGGATTTTACCACACATCTTTTTACCTAGAACAGATAAACTAAACAATGGTTCGCTTCGAACACATATTGCTAGCGAATTGGTCATAGATAATTTTTTTTCGAATCCTGCTGTGTCATGCCTCGGAACTATAAAGTGGTGCACACAACAACACGAATTCGGAAGTTGAGATAAGGAGGTAATGGATTGACTGACATAAATGTGACGTCACTCCACATATTTTAGGTGATCGCATGTAGTGTGACCAGATTAACTTGATCTCCAATGAGCTATAATGATTAGGATGTCAAAGCTCAACATACACCGGTGTGTGCGTTATCAGATAGTTTTAGGGTTACATTTTCGTATGCGTGGTCCGGCTCACGTTAAGGCCGTGATAAGGATCGTACATTAGCATTTTCAGTAGGTGATTTTCTTGTGCTGTCTTGAGGTCATGTGTTTGTTAACACGCGATATTAAAGCGACCTTACAGACGATTACGCATGTGGAAATTAGGTAAATGAAAATATATCGTGCCTTTAACACGCTTATCTTGATCCTGCTATGTTAAAAGTGGATTTATATTTTGGGCTTTGTTGTTTCTTATGGAATTTATGAAACATATGAAAAAATCTCTAATACCGGTTTGCTGTAAATAAACTGTTAATAATTTCGTCTTTAAAGCCGATATCTTTTGTGTTACGAGATGAATGTGTCAAACAAAGAACAAGCTATTTGAGTCAAAAGGTTTTTTTTTTACCTGTATGAAAGGTTTTACGTATTGGTTCTGCTAAATATCTTTTCTTTTTGATGTAAATTGTTTTCAAAACCAAACAAACATACGTTATACTTTCATTATTTTTATTGCCGTTATTAAACTTTAACAATATATTAGAAAGCCAAAATTTCCTATATAATGCATTTAAAACAATATAAAGTCAAATAAAACGTCATTCACACCCCACGTTATACATTCATATAAAGTTAATATTAATAGTCCGGCCGTTAGGTTCATAAACATCGGCTGGCTGTTTGTACAGTCGCGGTCGCAAATATAGTTTACGGCTAATGTAACTAATAAAGATTAATTGTTAGGCGTTGCCATGTTGGCTGACCAAATTGGCTGTGTTTGAAGAATTACAGGAATGTGTATAAAGGGCCTTATACGTTCATAACTGTATTTTAATTATTACTAAACAGCAAATAAATCGCCTTAAATTAAACCAAGATTTAATATACATGTCTCAATTTCAGCGTAGTAATAATATTTGTGAAATTTTTAACACGGTTTATACTTTTTTATATATGACAAAGCCGACACAAGTTTAAGCCAATTCGTAAGGGATCTACCTGTTATTGTTTAATGGTCCGCATTAGTCATAAAGTCATTTTGAACAAACATTGTCCGAATATTCCATTGTATTTCAAGGGTAATATTTTGAAACACACTATATGTAGTTAAGGTAATAATTATTATTCATAGATAGATACCTTTTGAGGTATGTACCTATATTGGTTAAGTTTTTCTTCGACGTTACATAAAAACTCTGTTCTACGTGTTGACAAATATGTATAGTAAATAAACCATTAATTATGAACTATATATAGTAATTATATATTGTTTGTAATGGATGTTTGTGTATGTATGTAATTTAAAATCCGTTGATAATTTTAAAGCTGGTAACCATGTCGGTGTGTATTGATCACACAAGTATTAATGAGGGTTACGACTTACGATATACTGTTTCGGGGTTCTGATTCATTAGGCGATGTATTCAACGATTATACAGTTTACAGAACATAGAATATGACGCAGATGTGACACATTACACGGACTATATGAGGGCATTGTCATTGTAAATAATATTAAAGAAGCAATTAGCTAAAAATAATTGGTATGAGGGCATTGTCATTATGTAGTAAATAATATTATAAGAGGTAACATTAGAAAAATGTTGAGTTCATTATCATACAAGTATCTATTAATTTGCAAGTAGGTGATAGTAAAAGAAATTTTGGTGCTATAGTCGTGTTTACTTTACAACTTAAATCAAGTCTCTTCTTATGACTTTTGAAGTTGAACGAAAGATAAATATTATTTTATCTAATTATTGTTTTATTATACATATTTGTATAGTATTGTAGTTAATACAACATCTGTCTGTTAGTCTGTGTCATGTATTGGATAATACATCGCCGGCACGCGAGCTACACACGTGCTCACGACAAATGCAAATGAAAAAGCTTTCATATTAGTTTGGCACAGGTTGATTATTATTAGTTTTTATCGACAACTTTTAATGTGGAAGTTACTTACTGTGTGTAGAAAAAACAATAAAGGGGACGAGCTGACAATGACATATTGTGGACAAACATTTAATATGGAGACGAAAATAATGAACGACTAATGAATAAAACTTTTCGTTGCTAAGTTATGTTACTGCTGTAATAAGTAAAGTCTAATTTTATTCATGTGCCTATATATAGCTAGTACAGTTTAGTACTGGAGTTTTTATTCTGCCAAAAAAACCAGCCTGTATGCGCAAATTCGGCGGTACCAGGCGCGCCTTGCTCGCTCTATAATTGCCGGCTGTTCATGTGTGTATTGCAAAATTTTTGCCCCTCTAACTCGGTATCGGCCAATTATTCCCGTTTTCAAAATTTCTTTTATTACGCGCTACCGATTTTAGAACGAGCCTTCAAAATTACCCATGTTTTAAATCTAGGGTGAAAAACCGATGTTAGACGAGCTAATCGATTTATATTTTATACACCGGACACTTGTGTCATGGATTAGAAATCTTATTGATTCGCAACAGATTTTTTTGCTTCTAACTAGAATTGTAAGTCGATAATCCGAGACATACGCCGCGGCGTCTTATTACAGTAATGATTAATTTTGTGCAACATCTCGCAATTCGAGTTTGGAAACAGTGAGCTGACGAAAACGATTTAACGGTTGATTACCAATGTGTGTCAACTGACAGGACAGGTGTCGTGGTGGTGTCGTGTCGGTGTCGTGTGGTAGCCGTGGTGACGTCACCACCATAGTCCCCACCGGCCGCGACCGTGGGACAGCTGCGTAAACGGAACGCAACTGTGACGAATCGATTATCCAGAATAGATTCAGTATAACGGTAGCGGATTTACATCTAGCTATATTGCAATTTGTGAGCGTGATCTATGAAATTTTCTTTTGCGGGTAAAATGTTTGCTCATTGAAGCTTCAATTGTCATTTTATAAGCGGACCGCGCGAATGTATACGAGCTAAGCGACCAGTATCGGATGACCCCCGTCCGCGGGATTGTGTAAGCCTCGGTCACTGCCAGCGGATGGGCAGCGTCCGAGCGGGGGTCGTGTTATACTGGCTAGGTGACACATTGTCACCGGTCGCACGATCTCTCTGTCCAGCGAGACGTGACGAGTTACGTGGCCGTTTTTATTTCTGCCAATGACTGCTGTCGAGGCGTGGTGAACTAACACAGGATGATCCTTATCACTGTACAATAAAGTCCATTTTACATCCAACAAACATCACTTGATTGTGCAACCGGTACAGTGGGAGTTATATGTTTTTTTCATATACACACGCCCATTCGAATTCGTGAAGGTTAGATTTTATTGAGTAGCGTTTCGAATCAAAAATATTCATCTATATACGAAATGGTTTCCTTTACATTTTTAATGTTATCTTTACATCAAATAGAATGTTCTCTTTAACAGTTACATAATTCGTGTCCGTAATTTAATCCGAACGAGATATCTTCGATGATTCGACTCTCTTCTAGTTTTTGATTCAGACGTGACTAGCACATCTGTAGCACGCGTCCCGCCAAAATATAGTTCAACGAACTCTTATCTACTATCAAATGTTTAGTAGCGGTCTGTTTACTTTAATGGGGTACGCTTAATGATTAGACCATTAGACCACAGTTATTATTGCTTTTCAAACAAAAAAAAAATCACATTATTTGACATTAATAATAATTAAATCAAAAGTAAAACACCTCAAATTAATTGCAAAAGCTTTTTAAGAGCTTGCATCAAAGACTTTTTATGTCTCTCACACACATCGTAATTGTAATAATGCATTTATAGGTACATGAGGATTATCTTAATAAGAAACATTGTTAAAGAATTAATGATTTATATATAGAAAAAATGTAAAAGAACCAAAGGGGCGCCGGGTCCAATATTGTCTAAAATCACCCCATCTTTTTACAAAGTCGACTACAGAGTCAGTGTTTGTGAGTTACATATTAATACAATAGTCATTTGATTAAATCTACCTCATTTCGGTCGGAGGTTTGTGTGCGAGTAATAGTGAGTTATCGACGACACATCTCGATATTATCGATAACATTCACACGTAGCACACGCTTCGGTGCTGTCAATAGAGATGGGTCGGATTCTTTGTGGCTGTCATATCGACTATCGATATCGATTTTTGTACGGCGGTCCTGTCACTCAAACGTTTTTTGAAGATTTTTCTTTATTAGGTTTGATTTGTCGTGCGGCTGTGTATTTAATAATGGCCAGTTTGTATAGACATCATAACCGCCTTCTTAGCTTTATTTGCAGTCAATGATTTTGTACCAATACATTTTCTACACCATAATATAAGCCATCTATTTTTTTTCTTATAAAGTAAGAATAATATACATTTGTTTTCTGTAAATGAATATGGCGCCGTCTTCGAACAATATCTATAACTGTCAATAACAGACACTGCGATTGTATACCAACTTAATACATCATGCTAAAACTTTTTGTGAGTAAACAGAAACCTGTAATGTAAAAAAATATGGCAACCGGGGTCAACGACCGGCCTGTTCAAAAGTTGCGGACAATAGAAAAAGTAGGTAAAAATTTGAAAATACAATGTCAATAGCCCGAGGCCGAACCTGCCCTACGCGCCCTTGAATTGAGATAAAAATGGGGAGGTAGATGACCCACCCCATGGCCGTGACCACTTCCCGGCACCCTCTTATAGTATTTTAAAAGTATTTGCCAACATTCCACTTGTAACTTATTGTGGACTTTTAAACATTTGGTACGGCTAAGGTTTGCGTTCATGATTCACAAATACAACATTTGATTCAGTACGGATTCAATAATCAATTCCGTTTCAAAACATAAGAGAAAAGTCAAAGTAGCTATATAAATTATAATACAGTTTAATAACACACACGAGACATTTAAAAACTTAAACCATATAACCGTTCTCATATAGTACACTGATAAATAGTTTAAAATAATTGATATCGTATAACATTAGCAGCATCAAAACTATTTCATAACATTATTTTAACACAAAAAAATATTGTAAAACAAAAATGTCAGTAAAAATAGCAGCTGATCGTAAAACTGTCCCCTCGCGCGACCTTGAGCCCGACCCCACTATTGAAATTAAAAACTCCCGGGGTTACTGGCACTTTGCACTTAAAAATGGATTCCACCCACCACTCACATCTTATAGTGATTTGACTGAAAAATAAACCACAGAATATATTTTTTTTTTGTTATTTTATCCGTCAAACAATATTAATATTGTCACATAGTAATGGTTAAGTTTAATAAGTTTTTGCAGTATGTGAGGTACAAAAGATACAAGTTCAACTTTTAGTAAGTAGTTTTCTTACACGTCGTCATCTGTGATGACATGGGTGTTAAGTTTAAAGGTGGATAAATGGATCCAAAAAGAAATTGATATGATGTCTAGTCAGCAGCGAAATTCTTATACCATATCACGCGGTTTTATGTAAAAAACGGATTATTTCGAGTTTTCGTGGGAACTACACGTAATATCGTAAAACATTTGCAGTATATATTCCACTAGCTTTCCGCCCGCAGCTTCGCCGCGTGGAGTTCGGTTATATCGCGTTTCCAAGAGAACCTTTCAAAAGTCTGGGATAAAAACTATCCTATGTTCTTTCTCAAGGTCAACTCTATCTCTGTACCGAATTTCATTAAAATCAGTTCAGTGGTTTAGGCGTGAAAGCGTAGCAGACAGACAGACAGACAGACAGACAGACAGACAGAGTTACTTTCGCATTTATAATATTAGTAGGGATTATATGAGTACTATTATTAAAAAGTGTCAATAAAATCCATTCAGTACCTACCTGAAAGTGTGAGAAACAATTATATAATCTTTTTCTTTTATGATTAATAGTGAGGATATGTTATAAATAAAAGGTAGATATTATTCCATGTATAAAGGAAACAAAAATCATACACTTAAAAATAATATTTTTTTTTGGCTTGGCCATATAAATAAGAAAGGTCATTACAAAATTCATTAACCTCATAGTATTTATAAATAAGATTTTTTTCTTATTAGATAAAATACAATAATGTTAAAACTCAGTACAGTGTTAAAATTTGAACGCTAGTTACAAGACATACTACTATCAACTTTAATGGCCTAATTCTAATACAATCGGAGGCCAACGTCCAGCATGTCCATTGATTCGGCTTTCTTTAAGAAATCACGTCGTACGCCGGAAGACAATTCGACTCGCACCACGCAACCAGAACATAACATCACTGCAAGCCAAAATAAACCTTATTTATATAGAAATAAAAATCAAATTTCAGCGGCCTATATCAAATTTTTATTTTATCCACTTCAATGGAATATAAACTTTATGCTTTTATAAATAAGGTCTATATTTTATATGTGTTATTATGTAAAGCACTTCTAATCCTTAAGGGGTGTAAACGCCGAGTCACCGACAGATGATGTTCCGCCCTGCTAGCCGCGGCCGAGCTGTATCGAGCCTTTATGATCTTCAAATTGATATTGAAACAATACTAAACAATCGTCATCTTAATATATATAGTATATAATATTATCTAAATATTCATACCGTAAAATGTAATTTTATTGTATAAATTGTTAGTTTGCATCTCGTTGAATTCTTTCGTAACTGACTACGTGTGTGTAGCTGCGTGCGCGCATCTACGAATTGCTACGGTGGATCTTTTTATTTTATGTATAACTTCAACAAAAAAAAAAAAACAAATATTCCTTCATGCTAATTTACTCGTGTAACAAAACTATGTATAATATTGATAGTGAATATCGATATTCAATACCTTCCATCCTAACGAGCATGCATTGTAAACGAGAAACAAAAAACTCTCAAACAAAGTGTATAAACTCCCAACAGTTGGTAACACATGAACGGCGAACACCAATCAAGCTTTCATTAGTACGAAACAATCAATATTCATATCCCATGCGGAATCTTCATAACGAAGAAAAAACATCAATGATAGATGATCCGACTGCGGCGCATTCGCAAAACGAAATTAAAAAGAACAAGCCATATCACTTAGCCGCACACAGATACGCTTTTATACGGTTTTATTAAAAAATTCTACATATCTGGCGTGTCTTCGCTGGTTTTATCTTAACCACCCCCCTCCCATCCCCTCCCGCAGACCCCCAGGAGAGAGACGGCAGAAAAAATACAGCCGAAGGAAAGGGAAATAGAATACGAAAATGATAATTGCCAACTGTACGTAAATTAACACCGCGGATTTTTGTTTTTGGTCCCTCTCTGATGTGCTATCATAGTGATGGGTGTGAGGGAGAGGGGTTGTGTTTGTGTGTGATTTGCATACATGCACGGGCACAATAACGGGACGGGACAGACCGAGGAAAATCGAAGGAATAGCACCCGTTTGATTTATTCGTTGCATTTTGGATGCGGATGCATTATGGATACGAGTCGGACGATCCGGGTCCTTATTGAATGGAGACTCGCCTTACGGATAACGCGGATTCATAGACATCGGTTACTGACTACTTATTACAAAGAGCTTTTATTATAAATTGAATTAGTGCTATACTAAATATATGTATTTGATCATTTGGAGTATTTAAAATGATCTTTCAAACATTCTTATATTTTTTTCACCCTACCGCAGAAACACGAACGTTTTTGAAGGGGATTTTCTAATAACTCATTAACCCTAATAACCGCATAGAAGCTTGTCAAATACGGTTCTTATTTTAGACATCCCTACAAGTACTTCAACATTGTATTATTCTACAACTTCAATTAGTTTTTTTACATAATTTTTAATAGTTACTATACAAAAGACTCAAGGTTAGTGGTGACGAAATATTGTTTACATTTTAATTATAAGCATTATGAGTAATTACTTCTAATATTGTTTTCTGTCTTTATAAATGTATTTATCAGTACTTATATATATACAAGCATTATATATTAAACATTACTTTATCGTCTTAGATTACAAAATTAGGATTAAATAATATATTTTACAAGTAATCTTATCAATTCTGGATCAGTAGTCAGTACTAATATTGTACATGTGAGAGTAAATTTCTGTTACAACTTACTTTAAATTTTAAACTTCAAAACTCTATTGAAGTCTTAAATATGAGATGTTGTATCTTTATGATGATACCTTAAATATTAGAATATGAATTTATGTTACTCGTACTAGGAACGTAGTTTAAAGATGTGGTTAGGGTTATGTCAACGTTAAAATAAAGGATTCTTTAAATTTTTTAAAGTATGGAGGGAACTAGCCAATGTAGTGTTTTCTATAAAGGAGTGTTCTTTACCGATATGAGAGTCTATAATCTATTGGAAAATCCTTTATTCTATAGTATGTATTGTTATTGAAATTTTATTATTTGTCTACACAAAAAAGTAGGTATGGAATAATTACCTATATATTTAACTTGAATTAAAGTAAAGAAACAATCTCTTTTTTCACCAAGATTTCGCTTTTTCGTGATAATTTATGTTATATGTCATAATAAGTTTATAAAGCAAGTAATAAACATAATATATAGGTTTCAAATCACAAAGAAACGAATTTCTTCACTATTTGATAGTTTCTGACAGTTTTCTATCTTTAACATATAAGTCTAACGTATTATAAATGACTTGACATGTATATATATATGTACATAAATATATATTAGTCAACATATAATATAATATAGAGGGAGTGGTTCAAAACAATGGCGACGGTTGACCTCGTCTCCCCATGTCTTGCCTCCGTGCTCCGCGCCGCGTGCAATTAATATGCTGAAGCCGCGTATACAGCGACGCGGTGTCTTTGAGAATTGATTGATGTACATTCATTAATATATATTCATATATATTATTTTTATTATTAAAATAAATTTATATTTCATGCTGTTCATATATATATTTATGTGTGTTGATAAAGATATTGTAAGTAGCTTGGTTCATTTGAAAATTATATCAGTGATACGTTTTCAATTGACGCGGTAATTGCGTTTATAACTTTATTATCTATTATGACTCCTTAGAATTTGCTAAAGTTATATCTAATGATGTATATTCTTAAGTACCATCAATAAAAAGATAAATTTTAATTATATCAAATATATTGAAAATATATTAGATAAATTAAAATTATCTAATTGCAACGACCAAGCTACACCGGTTGACACATAACCCGTCCAAGTTTTCTTTTGCGAAAGAAGAGAGAGAATTTTTGATCAATAATTGTCACTGGGCGGGCTCCCCCCCTGCGGAGGGTCCAGGAGGGGTGAGGGGCGAGGCGGGAGGGGGGGCGAGGACCGGAGGAGGACGGTGGGGGGAGAGGGCGAGGGGGGGTAATTACGAGTGCGTTTTGTTACCGAGATGATAGGCGCGAAAAATGGCCTGCGCGTGCCTTTACGTGTCCCATCTAGTTTTGAATATTCAAACCGGCCTCGGATCTGATGAAATATTGAATAGACTGAGTAATTTATTCCCCGCGGGAGAGTTCACGAACGAACGGTCTTCCGTTCGGATATTGAAATTAGGTGCTAAGACGTCTGGCCGCTGTGAGACTGCGATTGTTATTAATGCCCCACCTTGGCGATGTTTGGGACCGGCTTCCGAGACGTTTGTTATAAATGAACAGTTTTCGGGACGCTTTATCATATCCACATAGATTCGAAATCACCAGTCGCTCTCTATCTATGTACTTATATAGAGCAGTATATCTACTGCCTTTATGATTCAATCGCTACCGAATAATTGAAACGTTCAGAGAAAGTGATAAGGAAAATCACGGCCGACGGCGCATCCTGTACACAAACGAACAATACAAACAATAATATTATACAAAAAGCGTATTAATTGGCGATTGGGATGAAAGTAGGGTAAATAGCAAAATGTTCGAGTGCGTAGAAAGACACGCTATTGCACTTAGAGCGCTCGGATATGCAAATTCATGCTTACCAGTGTGTCGCGAGATGAACACGAAGGAATGGAGACGACTTGTACATACAAGAAATTATATATACTATAGGATCTGTTAGATAATATTGCTTTGATATTTTTTACGGTACTAGATATTTAAACTTTGACTAAATATTATTCTTTGAATTAGAAGTGTGTAATAATAATAATTTTTTTATGGAATATACGATTAGGAAAACCATATTTCGTCTACCAGTCCATGCATGGGTTGTTTTTCGGGCCGAATTCTAAGATGAGGGTGGTTAATGAATAAAAAAATTCTCGATTTTTTTCGTAGCATAGTGATTAGTTACCCCCGTAATGAGTGCGGCGTGTCTATGTGTGTGTCTGTGTGTGTACGACATGCGTGTGTGTGTGTAGGGGAGATTTTTTAAACGCGTATGACAGATTATATTAGTATTGATCGTTGAATTTTAATTCGAGTATCTCACGATGTAAATGCTGCAGAGACAGAAATAAGATCTGCACAATGTATAGAGAGAAAGTATAAAAATAATAAGACATAATTTGGTTCAGTAAATAAGTCTTTCATCGGCAATTGATACTTAATTTTTTTTTATGAATTTATTTTATGGACATATAAGAAAACAATCTTTAAGGCCGGCTTCATGTGAAGATATAAAGATTCCATACATTTACATCGTTAAATAGATACATGAACAAAATAAACCAAGAGGAAGAAAAACAAATATCCCGAAAAGTAATTAAGGCTAATAAGCTCAGAACAACCTTAAGGTACTTATGATAAGAAATTCCTGAGAGTCGCGGCGTTTCCCCAATTCTGTATAACGTATCCGCAAACGGCGTGTCAAGGTGAACCCCAAATGAAATCGGCTAAGTATCACATACATATAAAAAGAATAAATGTACCGCCTGAAGAAACGGGGACTTTCTTACTTTAGCCTCCCTTCAACCACTCGCGTCCGCTTCATTTAGGACCACGCGTACTCCTCACACGCACTCCTCGAGCTCCGGCGTCATATGGAGAGGGGGAGCGGGCTGGGGTCGAGTTACACTGGTCTCATATAAGTGGGGATGTAAGAGTGACTCAAGTTAAATTAAGAATGTGGAGCTCGTATTTTCTTTTACTTTTTTTCACTTTGTTTGTTGACGGAGTCTTTTTGACATTGTGGACTTCTCCCTGTTTAATTCTGGAGGCGTTCGTGTACATTCAGTAGGAGTATGCTTCTTACTCGTACGAGCTCCGCGATTCTATACTGGGTACGTATTAAAAGATCTCGTTGAGGTGTGTTTTTTGGATTATCTCTTTGATGTCATGATTAAGGTTTTACAGGATGCGTTGTTTGTACGAGGGATCCAAATTCGGGTAGCGGAATCATTGAAATATATACAGCTTTTTTCCTACACATCAATCCCTGTTTTCTTTTCTTCTTATACAGAATATGAGAGATGTTTCTTTGTCATTGCCTATTATTATCATATTATACCTGTACTTATATACATTATTATTTTGCTACTGTAACTGATAACAAATAAAATAAATTAATCGATTCTATCTCCATATAAAAATCAACGGAACCTCCAACAAGACTTACATAAAATTGGGTATCGTTAAACTTGTCACGATTATCAAGAAACAAATCACCACTAGGAGAGAATTAATTAAAAAATATATATAATTCTGTTAAGCTATAATAGCTCTTATATTACAAGTAATAGAAGCGTTATAATCGAGGCTTCTATGACGACCGGAGCGTAACGTGAGCGGTCACCGTTAAAGAAAACTCGGTGTGTGACACGCAGCGGTTTTTACCATTAGATTGTTGTACCAATGTCTTTGTAACAATGATTTAAATATCGGCTTACAGCTGAACAACTGATGCGTCAAACCGAATAAAAAACAGCTAGCTGTCCTAACAGTTCTTAAAAACTGTTTCAACGTCATTGAGCTGGTAAATGTGTATGAAATTAAAGTTTGATGAGATGGTGACTTACCGTTTATATGTTACTGGATTTATAAAAATATATATGTATAAAATAAGAAGAGAAGTACTATGATCTTCAAAGGACTTTACATGAAATTTCATATGTATTGTGTAATGTATAGCCATCTTTAGAATTTTCTGTATATTGTTACAATACATAGTATATTTAGTACATATTTAAAAGTATATATTTATTTCCTTAAAGATCGTTATATATGTACATAAGAATCCCATTATTTCTACTTATATAGCAATAAATTAAAAGTATTTTTTATTTATTAACAAGTATTTATTTGAATTTAGTGTAATGTATATACATATAAGACGTATTAACCTTTATATAGAACTATGAAATATTAATGCGCAGGCGAATCTGACGGAAGGAGCTAGTATTAATTAAATATAGCGGGAATAAATCCAAATCTGAAATGATAAAGAAGAGTTAACGTTAAACCGAGCCTCTTGAAAAGAAAAATAACAAAGATATATATAGGAGGGGAGTTGCGGTGCAAAATGAATCGTAAAAGTTTTTAGTGTTTTAGTTTGGAGTAAGGTTATCTAGTACTTTGAGATTTCGTTAAGGTATTGTGGCGAGGATATACTTATTTTAGTCACGTTCCGAATTTGTTGGTTCAACGGCAGTTTTAACTAAGAATGTTATGTTAGTTTAGTTAGTTCTTTTGTAATTTATGTTGAAACACTAACATACATTGTCCATAGTTCACATCGACTGGAGTTTGCATTGAATGTATTAGAAGTAGGGCCATGAGGTGATGATAGTAGATTCTAGAAGGTAAAAGTAATTTTAACACTCTGATCAGTCGATCTATAAATAGTAATCGGTTAGTGTGAGGATAACCGCAGCAGGTGTGTGGATTGAAGCGTGTTTCCTCAATTCAGAGGAAGCAGCAGGAAATTTGCGGTGGCAGTGTTGTAATGTGAATGAGTTGAATGTTTTATGTATGAATGAAGATGTTCATTTCGAGTTGCTAGGAAAGGATGGAAATACATACGTGGTATATATTGAAAAACATTTAGGAGGAGTATAAGAAAATAAATCGGTTCAAATAGTTGTAATATTCTGTTATTCCCATAAGGAATTTTGCAAGTCAAACTCAACTCAAGAAAAGGAAGTTCTTTCCTCCGTGCTCCATATATTTTAAACTTTTTTGATTATATTTATTTGCACAGCTTTATCAACATTATTCGAAACACATTGGAGTTATACCGACGAGCCCGTTTCAATTCATTTTCATATATTGTATTTCATATAAATTTATTACATTCTCAAACAATGTCTAACTATACTCAAAGTAAGCCTTTAGGTTCAATTAGGTCAAATCAGACGGTAGGAAGTGTATATAGTTTCAATATGTAGTAAAAACTTAGTATCTATCCAATTAATCTAACTTTCGTACGTATGAACACGTCCCTTTCACTATCAGATATTAATTGTACTGAAAATAACAGCAATGAAACCGGCCACGTGACCAGCTTGTACGCTCAGCGGAATACTATGAAACTTGCAATTAACTATGTAATCGAGTACAAAACGATTAATTAATTATTTATGGTAAATATTATACCTATTAACTTGACTTGACTTGGTCAGTCAGTGGTGGCCTAGTGGTTTAAAAGCCCGCATCTCATGCACTAGGGCGCCGGTTCAATCCTGCAAAGAACCAATGTGATTTTTCCGAGTCATATGTATGTACTTTCTAAGAGTGCTTAGACATCACTGATTAATGCATTCCCAAAGAGGGTTGATGTCAGGCAGGCAGGACGGTCGTAAAAACAATAAGCCAAAACTATTTACAACATGTAAGACAGACCCTGGCTATAGCTGGGAAATTGCCACTTAGATTATACGTATTAATGCCCATTCAAATTTCACATGTTCATAATATCGATACTATCATCTTATTAATTATACAGCGTGTTTAAAGTTTTCCACAAAAGGTTGTTATTTATTGTGGAAATATACGATACGTGCTGTAACGTATTCGGCTGTTCCAATTTTACGAGCGGTGTCACGCAATTTGTAAGTTTTGATTTTCTTATAATTTGTACGGTACTTGTTAACGGTTTGACTGACTTTTAAATTAACTGTTGGTTGTTTTGTGTTTTTTTCTTTGAGTTGCTGCTGAAAATTTGGTTCTAGTTCTCTTATTAATGTGAGCGTATTGAAATGTTACATTCTAATCAAAAGTTAAATACGCTTTCATGCATATTTATTAAATTTAAGTTTATTTCCTATGCCTAATTCTTTATTGTTTCGTAGTTAACATTTAACGTAATCATTTAATCATTTTGTTCATTATAAAAATGAAAAAGGAAGATATTCAAAAGAAATTCAAACCCAAAATAAGTTTCGCTAAGTTTAAAATTGTATAATTTTAGTAATATAAGCTAACATTATATTAAATTTTTTTATTCTTCAATGTATTTATCATCATAATAGCGACCCCTACTTCACAAACTATAATCACGTATGTGTCAAACTGCCGTACTTTTGTAGTTTTAGAGAAGTTTCGGCATTTTACAAACAAAAAGGTTACAGCTTTCGCTTACGTGATTTCCTATCACGAAATTTGTAACCCCTACTTTCTAATATTATTATCAACATCGTTTATGTATATTTTTTGCTACGTTTTCATTTATGTAATTGGTCTCTAATTGTTTTTAATTATACAAATTAATGCTTGATACATTTGTAAATTCACTGTTCGTGTATTGGCGTACA